GATGAGCTTTGTAAAAATCGACGTGTTTCAGAAAGGCGGGGCATAGAGGAGAAACAATAATGTACAGTATGTGGAAAATAATGTGTTTTTTGAACCTTAAACCGCATAAACACATTTCATTACACCAAATACACCAAATAATGTTCTTTTTAGCAGCATCATATAACCCCTTTAAATCCCATGACTCTAGTTTTGTAGAATTGGTGACTGTGAATCTCAGAAAAACCTCCACATCCAAATTTCAGCCTAGAATGAAAACAATGAAAAGAGTAATTCTGACGATTTTGTTAAGGATACTGAAGATTGTTTGCATTAATTACATCTTAATTAAGTACTTTACTCCCCAAATTATCATTACTGTAATGCAAAAACTTAAAATTGGAGAAACATGTATGTAACATAAAAGTGTCTATATCTGCATTCATTTTTTAAAAAGATGATACAGACTTTAAGAAAAACATTTAAAACTTAAAAAAATTCTTGCAAAAATAGAAAAAGTTTAATTAAGAGAAAAGCTCCTTTAAATTGATGTATTTGAAATTGTGAACATGATAATATATGATTGTCTGTACTGCCCATAATATTTATATGCTTATGCTTAGAACATATTAAGAATAATAAAACAAATAATTCTATTTTTACTTATTGTATATTTTAATTTTCTATATATTTACACACATTACCGGTCAAAAGTTTGGAATAATAACAATATTTTTTTATGTTAAATTGTTTTTAATACTATATTTTACACTGGAATTAATTTCATTGGCCGTTTTAAGTAAAAATAACATTTGGTGAAGTTCAAAAGAATTAGTGAGTCTTCGGTTTCAGTATTTAAATAAGATATTCATCAAAACAATACTATTCTTCTTTTCTAAGGAACACAAATAAGAATGTTTCAACTGTTTTTGTTCACACAGTGGAAGTCAGTGGGGTCCGAATAAACACTGATATTACAAATGCAAAGAGATATGTGCTTTATATAACCTCCCAATAATATAAAAACTTCCAAAGCCAAACATAAGTGAAAATAAGCACTCGGTTTCCCAGGGAACGTGCGATCCTACACGAGTTGTCGCTGTGAAACTAGCGTCTCTGTACCTGCGAGTAAACACACTCCTCCTGAAGCCGCTGCTGCGGAGTGTTTGAGTGGTTCGGAGTGAACATAACCTCGCCGTACTGAACCTCCTCCTCCTTAACCTTCTTCTTCCTCTTTGTCTGCGGTTGGACCGCGGCGTATTCCACATCAGCAGCCAGGAAAGATTCTGCGGTGAGAAAGGAGAAATGATAACAAGACGTTCTGGATAGCTGTTAGTCACTGCTAGTCTACTGCAGAAATAGCAGCTTTACCACAACTGCTAACTGACAAATGAAGCTTTTCAGGAGTGAAACTATTTTACTAAGAAAGTAGCAAACAATAATGATGAAAAAAGATCAAATCCAGTGCAAGTTTTTTTTTAAAGAATTCTCTTCTGCTCACCAAGCCTGCATTTATTTGATCCAAAATACTGCAAAAGCAGTAACATAGTGAAATATTTTTACTATTTAAAATAGCTGTTTCTATTTGAATATATTTTAAAATGTAATTTATTCCTGAGATTTCAAAGCTGAATTTTTAGGATCATTACTCCAGTCACACGATCCTTCAGAAATCATTCAAATATTCTGATTTGCTGCTCAAAAACATTTATTATTATTATTAT